TTTCACACACAGCTTTGTCACACACCATCTTTCACACACAACTTTCTTTCACACACATCTTTCTTTCACACACAGCTTTGTCACACACCATCTTTCACACACAACTTTCTTTCACACACATCTTTCTTTCACACACAACTTTGTCACACACCATCTTTCACACACCATCTTTCACACACAACTTTCTTTCACACACAGCTTTCTTTCACACACAGCTTTGTCACACACCAGCTTTCACACACATCTTTCTTTCACACACCATCTTTCACACACAACTTTCTTTCACACACACCTTTCTTTCACACACAGCTTTGTCACACACCATCTTTCACACACAACTTTCTTTCACACACACCTTTCTTTCACACACAGCTTTGTCACACACCATCTTTCACACACAACTTTCTTTCACACACATCTCTCTTTCACACACAGCTTTGTCACACACCATCTTTCACACACAACTTTCTTTCACACACATCTTTCTTTCACACACAGCTTTGTCACACACCATCTTTCACACACAACTTTCTTTCACACACATCTTTCTTTCACACACAACTTTGTCACACACCATCTTTCACACACCATCTTTCACACACAACTTTCTTTCACACACAGCTTTCTTTCACACACAGCTTTGTCACACACCAGCTTTCACACACATCTTTCTTTCACACACCATCTTTCACACACAACTTTCTTTCACACACCTTTCTTTCTTTCACACATCAGCTTTGTCAAACACACCATCTTGCACACCCAACTTTCCTTTCACACACAAACCTGTCTTTCACACACCCGTTGTCACAACACCATCTTATCACACACAACTTTCTCACGCCACATCTCCTCTTTCACACACAGCTTTGTCACACCCATCTTCACATAACACGTCTTGGTCAAACACACAGCTTTGTCACACACCATCTTCACAAACATCTTTCTTTTCAACACCAGCTTTGTCACAACACCATCTTTCACCACACTTTCTTTCACACCCCGCACATCTTTCTTTCACACACCAAAATCTTTCACACACAACTTTCTGTCACACACCTCTTTTCTTTCACACACAGCTTTGTCCACACCACCATCTTCACACACATCTTCTTTCACAACACAACGTTCTTTCACACACAGCTTTGTCACACAACAACCAATCTTTCACAAACACAACTTTCTTTCACACACAACTTTCTTTCACACACAGCTTTGTCACACACCATCTTTCACACACAACTTTCTTTCGCACACATCTTTCTTTCACACACAGCTTTGTCACACACCATCTTTCACACACAACTTTCTTTCACACACAGCTTTGTCACACACCATCTTTCACACACAACTTTCTTTCGCACACATCTTTCTTTCACACACAGCTTTGTCACACACCATCTTTCACACACAACTTTCTTTCACACACAGCTTTGTCACACACCATCTTTCACACACAACTTTCTTTTACACACAACGTTCTTTCACACACAGCTTTCTTTCACACACAACTTTCTTTCACACACAACTTTCTTTCACACACAACTTTCTTTCACACACAGCTTTCTTTCACACACAGCTTTCACGCACAACTTTCTTTCACACACAACTTTCTTTCACACACAGCTTTGTCACACACCATCTTTCACACACATCTTTCTTTCACACACATCTTTCTTTCACACACAGCTTTGTCACACACCATCTTTCACACACAACTTTCTTTCACACACATCTTTCTTTCACACACACCTTTGTCACACACCATCTTTCACACACATCTTTCTTTCACACACAGCTTTGTCACACACCATCTTTCACACACAACTTTCTTTCACACACATCTTTCTTTCACACACCATCTTTCACACACAACTTTCTTTCACACACACCTTTCTTTCACACACAGCTTTGTGACACACCATCTTTCACACACAACTTTCTTTCACACACATCTTTCTTTCACACACACTGTTCTTTCACACAGCTTTCTTTCACACACAACTTTCTTTCACACACAACTTTCTTTCACACACAGCTTTGTCACACACCATCTTTCACACACATCTTTCTTTCACACACAACTTTCTTTCACACACAACTTTCTTTCACACACAACTTTCTTTCACACACATCTTTCTTTCACACACAACTTTCTTTCACACACAACTTTCTTTCACACACAACTTTCTTTCACACACAACATTCTTTCACACACAGCCTTCTTTCACACACAACTTTCTTTCACACACAACTTTCTTTCACACACATCTTTGTCACACACCATCTTTCACACACAACTTTCTTTCACACACAACTTTCTTTCACACACAACTTTCTTTCACGCACAACTTTCTTTCACACACAACGTTCTTTCACACACAGCTTTCTTTCACACACAACTTTCTTTCACACACAACTTTCTTTCACACACAGCTTTGTCACACACCATCTTTCACACACAACTTTCTTTCACACACAACTTTCTTTCACACACAACTTTCTTTCACACACAACTTTCTTTCACACACATCTTTCTTTCACACACAACGTTCTTTCACACACAACTTTCTTTCACACACAACTTTCTTTCACACACATCTTTCTTTCACACACAACGTTCTTTCACACACAGCTTTGTCACACACCATCTTTCACACACAACCTTCTTTCACACACATCTTTCTTTCACACACAGCTTTGTCACACACCATCTTTCACACACATCTTTCTTTCACACACAACGTTCTTTCACACACAGCTTTGTCACACACCATCTTTCACACACAACTTTCTTCCACACACAACTTTCTTTCACACACAACTTTCTTTCACACACATCTTTCTTTCACACACAACGTTCTTTCACACACAGCTTTGTCACACACCATCTTTCACACACAACTTTCTTTCACACAACTTTCTTTCACACACAACTTTCTTTCACACACATCTTTCTCTCACACACAACTTTCTTTCACACACAACTTTCTTTCACACACATCGTTCTTTCACACACAACTTTCTTTCACACACAACTTTCTTTCACACACAACTTTCTTTCACACACATCTTTCTTTCACACACAACGTTCTTTCACACACAGCTTTCTTTCACACACAACTTTCTTTCACACACATCTTTCTTTCACACACATCTTTCTCACACAATTTTCTTTCACACACAACTTTCTTTCACACACAACTTTGTCACACACCATCTTTCACACACAACTTTCTTTTACACACAACTTTCTTTCACACACATCTTTCTCTTTCTCACACAATTTTCTTTCACACACAACTTTCTTTCACACACAACTTTCTTTCACACACAACGTTCTTTCACGCACAACTTTCTTTCACACACAGCTTTGTCACACACCATCTTTCACACACAGCTTTGTCACACACCATCTTTCACACACAACTTTCTTTCACACACATCTTTCTTTCACACACAGCTTTCACACACAACTTTCTTTCACACACAACTTTCTTTCACACACAACTTTCTTTCACACACATCTTTCTTTCACACACAACGTTC